GAAACAGTGGTTATACTGGACCCACCTGGACTGGACCTGATAATCCAGAATGATCTCCCCATCTCAGGATCCTTAGCTTGGTCACATGTGCAAAGTCTCTTTCGTCATATAAGGCCCCATATTCACAGGTTCCGGGGACTCCAGTGTGGAGATCTTTGGGTGGGGGGGCATCCCAGGTAACAACAACATTTGCTAAGGCTAACACACGAGGTAGCTGGATACACTGTGGAAGTGGCCCGGTAAGTGGTCCAGGAGGCTTGTGGTGTCATGGGGGAGCTGTGGCTGCGAGCAGAGGGGACTACGAGGCAGGTGGGACCAGGTCAGACCCCGCCCTGTGGCCCCAGCTTGTATAGTGAGTGCATCCGCGTGCTCGGGCCACCATAACAGAGCACCACACACGGGACGCTTAAACAACAGACATTTATTCTCTCACAGTTTTGGAGGCTGGAATCCCAAGATCAAGGGGACGGCAAGATTCATTCTCTCTGAGGCCTCTCTCCTTGGCTGGCAGATGGCTGTCTTCTTCCTGTGTCCTCACATGGTCTTCCCTCTGTGTGTCCGTGTCCGTATTTCCTCTTCTTATAAGGACCCCCGTCAAGTTGCCTTAGGACCCACCCATGTGACTTCATTTTACCTTACTCACCTCTTGAAAGATCCAGTCTCCAAATACAGTCACGTTCTGAAGTCCTGAGCGTTAGGACTTCAGCATATATTGGTGGTGGGGGTGGGGGACACAGTTCAGCCCATAACAGTGATTAAAAGGAAACATCGTGGACCAAGAAGCCTCCCAGCTCCCACCACAGTTGAGGACAGGGAAGGGACAAAATAATTTAGCCCTATTTCTTTGTTTTAAAGATTTTAATCTGTTTGGTTCATTTTTATATTTCTAGCATCTGTCGGTGAGGGCCAGCTCTGTGCCCAGCTGTGTCCCAGATGTTGGGCTGAGCCTGTAAAACAGCTCCCACGGAGCTTACGCTTCTGGGTAGGGAGTTAGGCAGAGCCGAAAAGTATATGTATATAAACATAAAGCTGGGGCACCGTTATGTGCTGTGGGCAAGAGGGGAGCGAGATGAGGAAAGGAAGAGTGCCGGACGCAACAGTAGGGGGCGCACTGTAACAAGGTTGTAGGGAAACGCCTCTCTGGGCAGGTGACCTTCAAAGGAAGCTCTACACAAAGGCAGACACCGAGCCATGCAGACATCTACGGGAAACTCTCCCAGGCAGGGGGAACAGCTGAGGCGGGAGCCTACCTGGCGTGTTCTAGAACGGTGCTGCCCCTTAGAAATAGAATTCAAGCCACATAGGTATTTTCAGAGTTTCCAGTAGCCACGTTAAAAGCGTTCAGAAGAAACAGGCAACATGAGTTTTAGTATGTTGTATCCAGCCCCATATAATCCAGTGAAATTCCCGCATGCAGTCATTATACGTGTTCATGGGTATTTTACATTTCTTTTTCTCATCGTAAGTCTTTGAAATCGTTGTGGAGCCTATGCTTAGAGAACATCTCGGCTCAGACTGGCTGCAGTTCAAGAGCTCAGTACCCACATGGCGAGGAGCCGCCACGCAGCTCCAGGATGAGCAAGGCGGCGTGTGGCTAGAGAGGCATAAACGGTAGCAGGAGCAGATGTCAGGGTGTGGGGAGGGACCGAACCCCGCAGCCACGGCCAGCTTAGCGGTGACTCCCGGTGCGTTGGGAAACCACTGGGGGGTTTCATCAGAGGGCTGGCCTAGTCTGACTTCTGTTTCAAATGATCACTTTGGCTGCCATGTGGATAACAGACTGGAGGAGGTGTGCCCAGATGTCCTCAGAGAGCTGCTCTGAGGCGAGTCATTCAATAATAATAATAATAATAATAATAATAATAATAATAATAATAGTGATACAACAGGAATAAGCAGCCACTTTCACATCCATCACCCTGCTGGATCAGGGCTCCCTTTCACAGATAAGGAAACGGCTCAGAGAATAAGTAGCCCCGCACATGACAGCTAGCATCAGAGCAAGCCTGTCCCCTGTGCCAAAGCCCCGCCCCACGGTCCTGAAATGGCTGGCTGGAGGCAGAGGGGTGCCAGGCGAGGACTCGGCCATGCCTCATTGCCCCACGTCCCTCCTTTTCTCTAAGAGCCATATGCTTGGAAATGCTCTGTTTGCCAAGAAGGCAAAGTGTGGGTCCTGCAAACCCACCTTACTGCAGGGACCTTGGGCTGGCTTATCAATCCCGTGGTGCCAGGGCTTCAAGGATCGGCGAACATGGACCATCTCCCACTCGTTTCCTTGGTTTTTGTCCTGGCAAGGGAGTAGGAAACGTGTCCCTGCCACATGGAAATAACGGAGAGGCATGGGCTTGGGGTCATAGCAGGCTGCCACTCCTATTACTCGTGACATCCATGGAAAGTCACCTCACTTTCCTAAGCTGCTGAGACTAACAGCTTCCTCCTTGTTATACAATAAGGACTGTTTAGTGACACGCACCGTGCCTGGCACATAGAAGGTGCCTGGTGAGTTTTAACTTCATCCCTTGTCCCCATCCCGTTATGACGGCAGACTTAAATATTTTACATGCCTTCTTGGAGACAATTCTAGACCAGGGTTTCTCAACCTCAGCACCGCTGGCATGTGGGGATGGGTAACCCTCAATGGTGGGGCCGCCCTGTACATCGTGCGATGCGGAGCAGCACCCCAGGCCTCCACCCACCAGCTGCCAGCAGTTCAGCTTCGTAATCGGAGCTGCAAGGCTCCCGGCAGCGTTCACTGCAGGGCCAACTGGGTGTGTGACAAACGCTTTCTGACAATGTGCTCTACAGACCTAAAGGCTGGTTTTAGCACCTTTCAGTGTGTAACCAATGTTCTCGCACATTTTGATAGCTACTTTTAAGATGTAGAGAGTCCACTTCCTTTGTAGTAAACAGCACGTCAAATCTTTTCAAAATCAAATTTTGAGTGTTTAATTCAAGTAAGAGCTATTGATCGAGTATCTACGCCCTGTCAGAGATGCCAGGCACATGGAGATGCTGCCTGCCCTGGGGGCTGAGGGACGGTCCCTTCTGAGCCACATTTTTGACGTGTTGGAGCCCACGGCTTACTGGCAGCAGAGGGGGGTGGTACTGGTGGAAGCTCTGGAGAGACACAGGCTTGAGCTGGTCCTGCCTCTGTGACCTTGGTTTGCTTGGCTGAACTTGAGTGTGGTTACCTGCAGTGCTCACACTGAAAGCTTTGCCTCCATGGGGTGGAGAGTGTCTGAATTCGGCCCCTTCCTTCCATCCCCACTGCCACCATCCAGGTCCCCATGACAACCCTGGCCTCCCTCCTGCATCACCCAGTGGCCTCCTGTGTCCTGTTCTTCCCTCCGCTGTCCTTTCTCCAAACAGCAGGAATCTATGAAATTCAAATTGATCACATCAACCCCTGTTCAAAACATTTGTTTTCTTCAATAGCAAACCTCTCTCCTTGACCTACCAGAGGCTGCCTGGTTGGCCCTGCTCAGCGCTCCTCCTCATCCGTTTCTCTCTACCTTCCCTCAGCCAACCAGACTGGCCTCTGTTCTGGACCTTGACCAGTTCCTTTCACCCTCCAGGACCTGTGCCCTCCGCTCCCTCCACCTGGAGGAAGCTGTGCCTCCTCCTTTAGGCCACACCTCAGCCATCCGCTCCGGAGAGCCCTCCCCAGAGCACTGCTAACGCAGACACCACCTCCCTCTCCCACCCTCCCTCCAAAGTGCTTATAGCACATTGTAATTATTGCTTTACTCACTTCCTTTTCAATAAACAGGTCATCTTTCCTCCCCCACCGGAAGAGGGATGTCCCTGAAGGCAGGGACATTGTCACTCTCAGCCACCGCTGTGGGACCAGCCCCAGCACAGTCAGTAGTCATTGAATGGTGGTGGAATGAGTGACTCCAGCCTAGTGGCTTCCAAACCGAGATTGGTAACAGTCCCTCGGGGCTCCCCTCCACTGCCATGCCTGTCTTTATCTGCGGATACCAAGGTGTAGGTCTGACTGACAGAGTGGGGACCCCCGTTGGGGAGGAGAGGGTGCAAACAGGGCCCCAGCAGCCATGCTGAGCCCCAGGGCCTGGGTCTGGGCACAGGGCCCAATCCTGAGTCTCGCTGAGTGGGACGTGGGGGAGGGGAACGTGTAGATCTCAGACAGTCTGAGCCCTGCGTGGCGTCTGAGGACATTTTGCAATGTGTGGAAGCAGGTTGGGTGCCACAGTGACTGGGGGTACCCCTGGCACCAGGAGATGAGGGGTAATAAACATTCCATTACGCAATTACACAGGACGGTCTCTCAAAATGAAGAATTGTGTCACCCCAATGACCATGAGGTTTCCACTGAGTAACACCCCACTGCCAGGGTGCCTCAGGGACTGGGACCCACCATGCATCCAATCCCGGGGTGATAAGGAAGGTGAAAGGGCAGCCTGTTGGGCAGGGCCCTTCGTCCTCTCTCAAGGAGGATTAGCAGGAAAAGCTGAGGTTTGGAGGCCAGAATCCCAAGCCCGAGCCCTTGCTCCGCTGCTCAGGAGCTCGGTAGCCTTGGCTAAGTCAGGCAACCTCTCTGGCTTCAGTTTCTTCACCTAGGGAATATGGTAGCGAGTACCTGCCTCAGTGATTCTGAAGATTAAATTACAAACTTTCTTAACACGATATAGTCAGTCAGTGTCAGTTGCCTTGTAAGTCAAACTGACACATATGGTACTCACTTGTGGCGAGTCACAGCCTGATTCAGAGGGCATTTGGAGAGCCAGAGGACGGTGCATGTCTCATTTGGATGGGCCAGGTCAGGGAAACGGTTTTTATACCCTTAGGAGTTATGTGCTGTACCTCCAGCAGCCACGCCCGAAGCTATCACTCAAACAGGCAGAGCCAGCTTTCCCCAAAGGGCACCTCCCTGCTGTGTGGAGCCGGGCACCTCCCTGCTGTGTGGAGATGGCGCTGGGGCATGGCCTTCCAGGCAGGGCTGACTAACTCCGTGTCCTGTGTCCTGGCTCTGATTGCAGGCGGCATCCCATTCATCCTGACCGGCGAGTTCTTCCAGCAATCCCAGCGGCCCGCAGCCTTCATCGTGGCGGGCACCGTCAACTGGCTCTCCAACTTCGCCGTGGGACTCCTCTTCCCGTTCATCCAGGTACGACTGGCCGGGGCGGGGGGGGGGCCTCTTGCTCGCGGGGTTCCCTCTGATTCGGCAGCCCTCTGAGTGAGGGGAGATCCATAGAGCAGAAGCTGATCCTCTCTCGACTGGAAACCCACGCTATTTGCCGAAGGGAGTTTCCTCCAAACGCTAAGAGCTGCTTCAGAGGGAGTGGGCTTCCCATCACGGAGGGAAGCAAGGAAACCTAGGTTAGACGCTGCAGCCTACAGCCTCATCATTCCTGTGATGTGCCCGTCGCTGTGTTAGACCAAGTCCATGCGTCATGCACCGCATAACAACATGCTGCCGAGATCACCTTCATTCCCACTGGCTCGCTTCCAGCAGGGCGCCCCCTCAGCTGGAAGCCGCAGGAACCACGCAAGGAGCAAGGAACGTGGGCAGGTGGTGAGGAAGAGCCGGGAAAGAATTCCCAACTCAGAGCGCTTTACAGGAGCACCGTGGTCAATGCAGCACGGTGGTGAAAAGCTGGTGGGGCTGTGTGAGAAACGGGCTGTGAGAAGGAGAGACTGAGAACCTGGCAGGTCTCAGCGTAGGAAGGAAAACCCCAATGAATACATGAGGCCCCTTACTGCATCTCTGCCAAGTGGTCTTCACGCCTTCCTTGGAGTCCTCTGGAAACTGGGGTCTCAGGGCCCCTAGAGGAGGGGCGATTCCATCATTATAAAGTCAATCCTTAGAGAGCGCTCCCACGTACAGGTCAAAATGACGGGTCTATGAGCATGAACTTCTGTGTCTCTCTCCAGAACAAGTGACCAGAGCCTGTAGGCTGGGCACTCAGGTATGTTGTGTCCAGACGAGTGGCACAAGGCCTGGCCATGACCGAATGGGTGGCTGGGTGGGAGCGAACATGTCAAGGACCCACAATGGGGCACAGGACACACTTGATTGCGTGCTATAGGAAGTAACGCTGAGTATCATGACTGGGCCAGGATCACGCTGCTACCGAAGAGTGGGACCAACATTCAAACCCCAAAACCACTTCGATTTCAAAATGTACACATCCATCCACCCGTCCATAAACCCTCGCTGAGTATCTAGAGCAGGTGCTGGGAACACACTGATGTTAAGACCCGCATGCCCCTGGGTGCTGATGGGCTGTGGGAGGGGGCAGATATGAGCTCAAGGGGTGGTCCTACCAGGCCGAGCATTGAGAAGTCCTACACCACAGTGTGCGTAACGTTGCAGCAACTCCCGCAAGATGGGTGGTGATTCTACTGCAGCAGTCGGCCCAGGAGGCGTGGAGCTCAGCTTGGAAGCCTGGGTGGAACTCTGCTCCATGGCAGTGGGAGAAAGAGCATTCGGGCAGAGGTCCCCAGAAGCAGCTCTGAGCTCCAGCGGGGCACTTCCCTGTCAGTCTCAGTTTCCTAGGGCTGCCATCACAAAGTCCCACAAGCTTGGTGGTCTATAACAATAGAAATTTATTCTCGCCCAGTTTTGGAAGCTAGAAGTACAAACTGAAGGTGTTGGCAGGGCAGGCTCCTCCTGACGGCTGTGAGCGAAGGACCTGTGCCATCCCCTTCTCTTACCTGGTGCTGTTTTCCATGTTCTTTGGCTCGTGGCGGCATCACTCTAATCTCCACCTTCATCCTCACGTGGCCTTCCCTCTGTGTATATTTTTCCATATCCCTTTCTGTAAGGATGGAAGGCCCACCATAGTCCAGCAGGACCTCATCTTAACTTGATCACATCTGCAAACACTATTTCCAAACAATGCCATGTTCACAGGCACCGGGGATTAGAACTTCGGCATATCTTTCGGGGAGCACAATTCAGCCAGCAGCACCTTTCCTGGCTGGGATGACCAACTCGTCCCAGTTTGCCTGAGACTATCGTCATAAGTCCCACGTCTTCAGAAACCCCTTGGTGCTGGGCAACCCAGACAGTTGGCCACTCTCCCCATCTCAGCCCCTCTCTAACCAGTGCTCCATGGGTGTCTTCCAAAGAAGCTACTTGCACTCACATCCCCATCAGGCTCTGCGTTGGGGGCTCCCAGCCCGGGGCGGCACTGGTAACACTGGCCTCGTCTTCAGTACAGGGTAGCTTGGTGCATGGCAGCTGCCGTGGTTGTTTGTTGCCCTTTTTTGCCAGGTATGATGTTCGATATAAATGAGACACAGGAGAAACTGCACAGACCTGGGGGTCAGACCGCCTGACCTTGAGTCCTGGCTGTGCTGCTCAGCACTTAGCTGAAGGACAGGCTGGCTGAACTTTGTCTGACTTTGATTGCTCTCCGACTTGGAATTTTCATGCCTAGAAAACGAGAGGATTGCCCCCATTTTGCAGCAGGAATTAGGGATTAAGTCGAGGCTTGAGCACAGCATCTGCCCACAGGCACTCAGGGACGGTTGGTTCCAGGATTGTTATCAGTCCCGTAAGCTTGTTTCCTGCCAAAGGACCCCGGGGTCACTCAGGAAGAGACAGGACAGAAAGAGCAATTCATGCTAAGTGCTGAAAACAGACACTGCCCCCAACTAGCTAAGTGATCTGGCACAAGCTGTCTCTCAAAGGGTGCCTTCTCCCCCACCCACACTGCCCTCTCCCTGCAAGATGTCCTCGATGGGGTGGGCTGCCTTGACCCCTGGGGAGATTGATATCACTCTCTCTGCCCTCAGCCACAGGCCGCCTTTTCCTCTGGGCCTCTGCTGTGGCCAGCATCAAGGGTATCCCTTGGGTGGTTCGTTGTAAAAGCCTGCAGACCATTCGGCCTCTGACATTAGCACCAATAGTATCTGGTTCGGAGGACATGACATGCAAATGTATACTTGCTTGTTTCCACTGGGGTTAGAAAATTCCGTCTGAGTTCAATAAAATCTGGAAGGGAGAACATGATTCTTCGGAACTTGAAAAATATTGGGTCATATCCCAAATGCCTTTGCAAAGTGAGGGGGAAACTGCGGCAGCTCTAGAGCAATGGGCTCGAAGAGCAAACGAAACCGCCCCCGGCCTGTCCGTGCTGCAGGTGGTACTCCTTGGGCCTGAAGGGAGGGCGAGAGCATCTTCACTCACTGGTCTGTGTTGGTGGGCGCCAGCACCGTGCTGGGCCCTGGAGGCAGGGCCGTGCACAGTCAGGGCTCGGTCCTGCCCTCACACGCAGGAAAGAACAGGCAGAACCCTCATGGGGACAGGTGTCGCTGTGCTTCACAGGAGGAGGGAGGCTGGGGGCTGAGATGGGCTGAGTGTGCAGGGACCTTTCACACTGAGACTGAGGGAGTGTGTGCGGCGGGGAGCAGAGTCTGGTGGGGAAGAAAGCGAGTGGGGAAGGAAGATGGTGGGGAAGGAAGATGCCCTGAAGCCCTGAGCAGCACGGAGCAGGCATCTGAGGGTCTGCGAGGACTGCACGGAGCTCTGAGGGAGGACAGGGAGGCCAAGGCCAAGTCCTCCACAGCACCCAGGGCACAGCGCGATCGGGGTGTATCCCAAGGATCTGAGAAGCCACTGCATGATTTTAAGACATGCTTTGTTTTGTTTTGCGCTTTTAAAAGAACTCTGGCCGCCTGGTGGGAAGTAGATTCAGGCAGGGGCAGGAGGCATGGATGCGAAGGTGACAGAAACCAGAACAGTGGTTAACCCTGGGGCTAACTGTGTTGGCTGCAGCGGGGCGGGGGTGGGGCCGGGAGGGGAGGCGTTGTTTAGAAAACGGCACAAGGAACCTTCCAAAGCGGCGGGAAGGGTCTACGTCTTGATATAGGTGTTAGTTGCTCATTGAACTGGGCGCTTAAGATCTGTGCAAGTTACTTACCATACATAAAATTCTATCTTGATTTAAAAAGTGTATATCTTTTTAAAAAAGGAAAAGGGGCTTGAGGGTAGTCAGCAGAACTCAGCAGAACAGGCAGAGAGGGAAAGGGTCTTAGCAGTGGCTTCAGGTGTCAGTCTTGAGGGGGTGAGAGGCTGGCAGCGCCATCTCTGAGAGCAGGTGGAGGAAGGGCGGGCTTGCCAGGGAGAGGGGGAGGCTGCGAGCGGGAGGCGCTGGCAGGGCTGGCAGGCGTGGTGCCCCGCAGGGCATGTGGGGTTGAAATGACAGCCGGCAGCCGTAGGACTGTGTCTACCGCAAAGGTTCCTGTGCAGCTCCAACAAGATCTCAGGTGTGCAGTGACAGTGACCGAGGGACCACACACACCGGTGATGTCAGTCACCACTAAGATCCGTGTTCTCTTACTACTCTGCTCCTCAAGTGGAGCCTCCTCACCTTTTTTTTTTTTTTAAAGATTTTATTGGGGAATTGGGGGAAGGGGAACAGACAAGTTGCTGTCGTTTTGTTCTTCAGTCCAGTTGTGGAGGACGTCGCTTCACTGGCCCAAGTTGGCACCATCATTGCGCTCTTCTCGGGTGAGGCAGATCAGTTGCCAGCTTCTGGATGGCCACTCACGGAGGCTGCTGGCAGCTCACGCTGGCTGCCAGCCACACACGGAAGCTTATGGCAGCCCACTGCAGCAGGGGCTGCAGCCTACGCTATTGCTGGCGACTCACGGCAGCCCAGCTCCAGGTCGAGCTATTGTTCACCATCTTAGCTGTAGAGGGCAGTGTCACTGGCCCCCATGTGGGATCCGAACCAGGGCCCTGCTGCTCAGAGCTGGCATCCCAAGCCAGCTCTTAACCAAGGCGCCACTCGGCCACCACCACCCCCCCGGCCCTTTAAAGCTCTTTGCAGAACCGCAATTCCAAGTGTGAGGCACCTGACTTCCTGTCCATCTTAGATGGAGGGTCTGGGCACTGACTCACCCGAGGGCTCGGTGTGACTCACCAGTGAGCCAGTGTTCCAGCTCTGTGGGTGGGAGTGGAAACTAAGCACAAGAATTATACTCTTGTCACATCGTGAAACTCTAACTGGGACCACCTCTCTTCGTCAGTTTCATGCATCCCTGTGAAAGTCCTCTGATGTCAATCATTTATCCATCCTTTCAGCATAGTTTTATCAAGAACATGCTACAGTGAGTCAGGGCCTGTCTGGGCCTGGGGTTAGTTTACATTTATAG